AGATGAAAAATTCTAGTAAAGGGACTTATTATAAAGACCCAAATTTTGATATTCATACCATCAGTGACGAGTCATACGACCAGGTCGAAATGTGTTTGGTCGAATTGGTCAAAGGAGATACGTATACTTGTCCCATAATGGCCAAGCCTAGACCATCGGACAAAGATGAGCCCATAAAAGATGGAAACATAAAGGCTAGAACGTTCTCGTTCGATGTAACCAAAGCTGACCTTATATTTGATAAATTATATAGGGATAAGCAGATAAAGTTGAGCGATAAGCACAAATTGCCAAACCCTGAACAAATTAAGGGTAAAAAATATTGTAAGTGGCATAATGCATGGTCACATTTGACTAACAATTGCTTGGTTTTTGGCCATATATTGCAGGATGTCATTGAATCAGGACGAATTACGTTTGACGATAAGAAGAAGATGGCAGTGGATGAAAATCCTTTTCCACAGCCACTTGGAGTGAACATGGTGACATCTGGATTCAAAAACAAATTGCCAAAATTCAAGTTGGTCGTAGATGATGGAGAAGAGTATTCTAGACCACATCCCAGTGTCTTTGAACGAATCAAGGGCAAAGAACCAAAAAAGGACGAAGACGTCCTGTGTGCAAGATGTAAAAGAGAAATGAATGGCAACACGGAGAAATCAGGGATATGGCAGCATCCCCATCGCCCTACCTTCTTCCTAAACACTCAGCCTGGTAGAGGGCGAGGTACATCATTCTATAGAGGACCGCCTTTTGAGAGGCAGTTTAGGCCAGCAGATAATGGAAGAACATTCAGACCGCAACCCTCGCCGGCCAAATGTATGGCATTCATTCCAGTATAATGCAGGAAGGGCAATACCCTTCGATGAGATGACTGGAACCCAACAAAGGCGTTTCCAACGAAACTATGGACGGATGATGAGGTAGCAACAGGGAGTGCCACATCCTAAAGCGCCTAAACTACTCAAGGTAGCGAATCAAAATATCCTCAAAGATAGTGAAGAGACCGGTACAGATGAATCGATGAAGGAACTGTCAGAAACTTCTTCTGGGAGATCAAAGTTTGAGTGAGACAGAAGGGATGGAGAAGATCCAGATCAGCCCCTTACTATCCAATTCGGTACGTTGCCTCCTGTCGTGGCCAATAATTACTTACTGGCCAATGAATTCAAGAATAAATAAAAAGAAGAAGAGAGGGAGGACAACGAAGGAGAAGCTTGCGTGCTGGAATGTGAAGAAGGCCAGACTTCTAGAGAGGCCTACAACGATGAAGAGGATGACGGGATGACAGACATTGAAGAAGAAATCGACCTAGAAGCAGAAGGAAGAAAGAGAGGAGTATCGCGCAATACTCTGTTGAAGCAACTACATCGAGTGGGAGTTCGCGAAGTAGACTTGTTGGGAGAACCATCTGGACATCCTTTCGATTTCTACGTACTGTACGGGACACCCAAAAGGAATAAGAGAGTGCCTCGCTCTGAAAAGTATGGGTCACCTCCAAGAATAATGCCCCCTCCCACAGGTTGGGTAACTGATGAGGAAGCATTAGAAAAAGTAAGAAGGAAGTTTAGGAGACAGAGGATCAGCGCAATATACTGCATGTCGACTTATCACAGGGGGATAATTCGACAGAAAATAAGCAGGAAGTAGAAATAGAGGCTGCCGAAAAGGTTATTTTTAAACGACCAGTCATGAAATTGACTAAACACTTGAGGCCATTGTACGTTAAAGCTTTAGTTAACGGCATCCCAGTGGCAAAATTGCTTGTCGATAATGGAGCAGTTATAAACACCATTCCATCTAGGATGATGAGGAAGTTCGCAAAGACAGAGGGTGACATGATTCCTACAGAAGTCATCCTCACGAGCTTCAATAGAGGAGCAACTTCAGCTAAGGGAGTTATGCCATTTGACATAACTATAGGGACGACTACTAGGACCACTGTCTTCTTTGTAATAGATGGTCCTACTAGTTACAATGTGCTACTAGGAAGAGATTGGATACACGGAAGTCACTGTATACCCTCATCGCTTCATCAATACCTGATCTTTTGGAATAACAAAGGCGAAGCAGAGGTAGTACAGGCCGATCATAGGCCTTTTGTCGCAGAAGCAAACTCGGTGGAAAAGTTCATGTACGAAGGAAACTATAGACCTGTCAGGGTAGTACAAGATGGGGAAGAAACTCAAGTTGTCGCGCAAAGCGAAGAACCATTCTTAGTGGAGCACTCACTGAAATGTTCAAACAGATGAGGCCAAATATAGTGGCCCTAGAAGAGCCAGTAATTGGTAAAAGAATAATTAAGGAGTCTTGAATGGATTCTAAATTACAAAAGCAAATGGTCGACATTCAGTCCTTCAAAGCCAGACTGATGGCTTTCAATAAGGAATGCAATAACAAGGCGAAAGAAGAGATAGCCTTAAAAGTGCTGAAGGACAAATTGACAGTATTCGAGTTAGAACAAAGCATTGGCCGAGAAGTCAACAAAGTGGACTGTTTAGAAGAAGAAGTACTTACAAGGGAACTGGACGACGAAGT